CTGTGGGTAACACATTTTTGAAATAAAATGTGGATAAACTCTATTTTGAAACAAAGTTTCTTTTGTATTAAAAGCTCTTATCCAATCATAAGCACTCAAAACAATAGCCAAAAGATGCTTCTAATTTGCAATGTTCCCCACATAGAATTGCCTTAATATTGAAGCTAAAGAAAGCTTTCATGAAAGCGAAAACAGACATTAAATAAAATATTAGAAAATTCGCTAACTTGTGAAATTATAGCAGATTTTCATGTTTTAACCAATGGGATGGATGGATTATACAATGCGCAATTAGCACMTTMTTGCATTCCTDTGCCGTTWGCTTCCCTAGTTCTTACTCGGGGCATTACTTAATAATACAGAGTTTCAAGCGTTTAAAACTCGAAAAAATTACAAAGAATGTATGGAGCACCTGATGGAGGTTTTGAGCAGCGTCCCAAAACACCATACATTCTCTCTTATTTTTACAATTTAAAAAAAAATTCCTACTCGGTGAATATTCAACCAAATATGCTCAAACAACCCTTATTTTAATGTGGTCTTTCATGTCGTGAGGTTTAGTTTTCGATATGAATGTTCACACTCGTTCCCAGTCTCCTTTTGAAAGTGGAGCAGGTTATTATTTTTGGAGGTCGGGGGATTGGGGCTGAGGGAACAACATGATTAAACCGAAAGTAAAATAATAATAAWAAAAAGATGATRAAGACGAAGAAACAGWAGAAAGATAGAAAGTGAAAAACAAAAAGAGGTTTATACACATCAATTCAACCCAAATTCCGTTTTTACAATGACATCAGTATTTCTATTTCGATTCCAACGTTGGCATTTCGTTCGACTTTTTTGGTGGTTCAATAGGGCAAGCAAAGTACATTGAAAAAAACGCATATAAAAACTTTTTGCGCAGACTTACAAGACTGACACCCGTGTCATGTTGGAATACATCATCAGTTAAAGCTCAGTTCTAGTCCACTCCCCGCCATTCTCTTTTCATACAAGTCATCAAAKCGTTTGTTTTGTTCTTCAGTGAAGTAGTTTYGCCAGTCTCCTACTTCTCCTTTGCGCAAAAATTTCACGGCTCCAGGTACTCGAAACTTCGCTTCGAATTCTTCATCATCGTAGAATCTGCCTTTTCTATTGTCAGCGGTCATAGCGGTAAAAGTTGTTTGTTCAGCGATGCGTTTCACCACGTCTTGCGATAATTCTTTTCCAAGAAACTTTGCTATTTGTTCTACTGCTTTAGTCAAGTTCTGCAAAAACGAAATCTTGATTATTTGTGTTGATTTAAATGCCATTGAATCGACTGAGAGTTTTTTTCTGATCATACATTTTCTTCACAAAGGAAATTTAAGTTAACGAAAGGGATAAAACCAATTTCTAGTTCTATTGCCTTGATGTCCTTAACTTCGGTGTAAAGGCTTTGTTTTAATGAGATAGTGTTCCTCTAAGTTGTAGAGACAAACTCGTACATTAAGAGCACCCTATCCCATGTAAACAGGKCTTGATTTCAATAAAGCACTAGCAGTCACTGGAAAAAATCGCGCGCTTTAAAGGTTGTAAATTTGATGTATATATRATGTAAGTGKCCAAAATGATGTAAATTTGATGGATATCCAGTGAGTAGCAATAGAAATGSCAGCCAGACRCAAACATACAGTCTACTACWAACCTTCTTCATGTCTTCAAATTTTAGAATCAAAATATTGGAGTCATCACAATGAGCCCACCATCCCAACACGTGATCGAACCAGCTGCCATACACGACTAATGAAAACCATCCATAATATAAGTAGATCATTAATTAATCATAATCACTAATTAGAATTAGTATTTGACGTATAAGTTAATTGGTAATAGTCAGAGTGGTACATTTAGGTATGTCAGTAATTTTGAATACTATATTTTTGAACCCCATGCAGACAAAATTTTTTTTTTGAGGGTGTCTAGCTACCCTTCAAGGATCGATTTGGTTTTTGAGTACGTAATAATTTAGACAGTGTTTAGATGTTTTTAACAGTTTTAAAAGCCTTAAAAATCAATCAAACTTCGTGGGAACAGCTGGCTCAGGACCGACAAGGCGTGCCGTTAGCAACGGTGCCTCGTCATGCGAGTCCAATTGGACAGCTGTCGCCAAGGAACGTAGAGCCCCCAGTGCCCCAGGCTTTTCCGTGCGCAGATTGGCCTTATTAGCCATCTGCGTACGCATGAACATCAATAGTCCAGGTTTTTTAGGATGGTAAAAAAATTAATGATCTATACATAACAAGATGGTCTTCGTCGCAGCGACGGACAAAACAACGACAATTTAGAAACAGCARACTGGCATACCTTGATCAGTTATAAACATTTCAAAAAATTCATCCCATGATCTGCCCACAAATTCTAAAGGTTTGAAGCCTTCATAATGATAGTAATAGGACACTGCTACGTCTTTTGGGTTTCTTATCGTGTAGATGTACTTGGGTTTATCACCGGTACCATATCCCATGGGTACTTGATGATACGGCAGGTGAGACTTGAAAAAACGCGGCGAAGGATGATTCARGAAAAACTCGTTAAGTTTTTCTTTTGTGTCGAAGAGGTTAGTGCATTCTTCCATGAAAGGCACGCGTTTATGGATTGGAGTGTAGTCTAAGAGTCCTCCATGGCAGATTTCCAGTGTTACCTCAGATACCCATGTTGTGCCTAAACAGATCATTATTCATATTATTCTGATGAACAAATTCTTTCCAGCACGCAACTGCCGTGTTTCATGTGGGACATGATTCTTTCGACCGATTTTCGCTTTGATTCGATGCGACCTTGCCTCCTTTGCATGTAACTGTACTCCGTGGGATTCCTGTGCTAGGTCAAAAAATCTGTCTACTAGGAAGGAAGAAACTAGATATCTCCTGCTTGCCTGTAGAAAAAGGACATTTTCTTCCTTCTTATTAAATTCAATAGGAATATTTTTCAATTCCTAGGCAACTTCCASTTTTTGCTTGTATAGAGGCTTGTCATTAAAATAATCGCTTAAACTTTAGCAAATACAATATTAAAAATCAAGTCTTTGCAGTGACCAGTGGCCTACTAAAATGCAATGTAGAAAAAGTAGGTTAATTAATAAGTTCAAATTACACAAATATTCACTGAATTGCAAATAAGCACTAAGTTCTCATTGTCCTCCCCTTACCTGATTTCGGGTAGGTATCAATGATTACATCTCGATCTGTTTGAACGGGAAGGTCTTTCAGGTATCCCAGCCATGTCTTTGACAATCCTGGAAAATGCAAAACGCCGTCGATCATCGGCAGTATTTCGGGATGTTGGTACTTTGTCTTTTTTGACATGATGGTAAAGACGACAAAGAATGGCCTAGAAGTTGCTGTGAGCCCCSTSTGAGATAACATACAATATGCAWATTCATCGAGAYATRTCGAATTACTCATAGGAATCCACTCATGACGGGGAATAGGTGTTCATTTGTTTACAGTTGGTTCATGATAATAATATGAGTTACTTAAAACATGAAATGCTTATGCTATCCCATGTTCAAGCTGACGTGGTTTATAGCTCTCAAAAAGCCCTTTGACGTAACTAATTTCCCATTTCTTTTTGAATTAGATCTAAACTTTATGCTAATGTGCAAAGTTTTGTAAACAATGAGCATCCTACATCGGGTCACGAATCATGCTATTGCAAATCATGTCAAACTACACGCTCTGTGAGCGCTTACACGGATTTCCTAAGGACTGTTAAATGCGATTCTTTCTTTTCTTTCAACCTTTCTCTACGCATATATATTCACCATACTTTTAGAGTTTCAGCTTTCAATACTAAAACGTAATGCATKCTGGGACGATCTCAAAAAAGGGGATCACCAAACCGTGACAAGCCGCCCAACATCTTATATTACCGAACTATTCAAATGGTCGTTATCTCAAAAATACCATAATAGATAAAAAGAGCTAATGTCTAACTAAAAGCAAACTATCAAGGTTATGTTATCATGATATCAAATAAACAAATTTATACTATGTATTTTAGGAAAGAAAATGTTGTTTTYATTTCTTTAATATCAATAAAAACTTTTAGAATCARGCTTTCATCTTCGCTGAGGACTCTGCACAATCCCCACAGCGCTCTTCTTAAAGGGAAACTGTCAATGGCACGCATKCGCGAGTAAACTTGAAAACATTAGGCTAGTGTTTTCAAGTTTATGACTCCAAGTTGGCGCGACATAAATCAGCTCGTAAACGTAAACAGATCTAGAATATTCCAAAGTGTGTCAAAAGCACCACAAAATGATTTACCTCGAAGGTAATACTTTCAAAGTAGTGATAAAAACTTTTCATACACGATTGTCTTTATCAAGCTTCTCAAGCATCGCAGCACTTACTTTTGATAATAATCGCTAGTTTAGGCAAGTTAATCCGGTTAGTATTCACCATACTTTTAGAGTTTCAGCTTTCAATACCAAAACGCAATGCATTCTGGGACAATCTCCAAAAAGGGGACACCAAACCGTGACAAGCCGCCCAACATCTTTTATTGCCAAACTATTCAAATGGTCATCACCAAAATATCATAATAGATGAAAAAAGCTAATGTCAAAGCATGGAACAACAATTGTAGGCTATGTATTAATGATCATTAATGGATCATTTGCGGGTACCCTCTACCTTTTGCATGACTTATAAATAATGAACAAAGCTGTAGCTTGCACTTACACGGAATGCAAACAAGATTATGGTTATGATTATAATTATGATTTGTAAAACTCTCGGAAAAAACTTTAGGAACTGAAGAGGTTTTAATATAAAACGAAACTAGTTTTCCTATAAAAAGTCTTGGTGTTTTGTTGCGTGAAAGATTAGTAATTTGAGTTTAAACTCTTACACATAACGAAATTTAGAGTTTAAATTTAGATTGAACTTCCATGCACTTCTGATAAATGGAAAGCGCCCTTTGAGACTTTGATGAAGAGAACTTTTGTTTAAATATTAAAAGGAAACCTATCCCATACATCGAATTCCCATATGGTCTAGCGGTTAGGATTCCTGGCTTTCACCCAGGCGGCCCGGGTTCGACTCCCGGTATGGGAACGAGAATATTTTTTTTTCGGGAAAATAGTTCTTTTTTAGTTAGTTGATGTTTTTTCACTCAGAATTATATGCATTCATATCTTTTTTTTTCGAATTTGTATTTAGTTACATTAATGATCTTGAATAACTAGAAAGCGTCGATAATCAGTCGATTTTTAGTCGTCAAAAGCTCGTGAATTGTCGGAAGACCGAGTGACCCTGGTGAAGAGCACATTGCACATGTGAGTATTGCAACAATTTTTTTGGCCAGAATCAACATATTTATCAAATTTTTCTTATTTTTAAGTGTATAAAAATTAAGAATGCCTTCAGAAGCCGCGAAGAAACGGCAAGCTAAGAAAAAGGCAGCGGCACAATCGCGAGGAAAACCAAAACCGGCCGTAAATTCGTCAAATGTAGCGATCGAAAACGGTGACAATGCCAGCAATGGCGGAATACTCGACGTATCTTCACGGGCATGTACCGGCGTTTTGGCATCACATCCTTTATCTAAAGATCTCAAGATTGAGAACTTTTCTATTACTTTCCATGGAGTTGAACTTCTAAARGACACAAAACTAGAGTTAAATAGTGGAAGGCGATATGGTTTGATTGGCGCCAACGGCTGTGGTGAGTCATCCTACATATTTCGTGAATAATTTTGAAAAGTAAAGGAAGTCAAGAGTTTTTATCCACGTATTAGTGAGAATAATTTTATTTTAAGATGACCCATTGCTTGTTTTAAATAAACTTCTATTGATTATTATTTTAAGTACTACGTTTAATCCGTATCGTTTCGTAATTTAGTGAATTTGTTGTTTTTTAAAAAAAACTAGTTGTGTAATGAGAGAATTTCATAAAAAAATTAATTCTCGCTTTTGATAGTTGTTACAAGAACAGTTTTATAATATGAAAGTTCATATTATTTGTCATTTCAGGAAAATCTACTATGCTTATGTCGATTGGTAAAAGAGAAATCCCCATCCCTGAACATTTTGATATCTTTCACTTACATGGAGAAATAGAAGCCAGTGATAAAACTGCCCTACAGAGCGTGATGGAAGTGGATGAAGAGAGACACAGGTTAGAGCTTGAAGCAGAGGAGTTGGCTCACCTTGGAGAAGATGGCGCAGACAGGTTAGATGTTTGTGAACATTTCATTTTAAAATTATATAATTTGTTATTTTATTAGAAGTTAAAAATACAGGCGAGTGTCCACTTGTGGATGCTCCCATAAGCAGACAGGTCTACTTATGGCCAACTCTCAAAACCGCATTCACATTTTCTCAGAAGCAATCAGTCCTACCAGGCTTCCATACAGCACAATATCGTCATTTACCCACCATTTCCCCACTTTGGCAAAGTTTTCTATTAATAACTTTAACTTATTATTATAGTTCTCTTCTTTTATCATTATATTACATGAGCACATAGAGATACAGTTTTTATCTCTGAGTTTTGAGATTTTCAACATAGGATTTCAATATATTAGAGATAGAAATAATAAAAATAATGTCTTTTTTCAAGTAAGAAATATAGGTGTTTCATGTATTTCATAGATTATTATATGCTAAAGTTATTTGACAAGTGGAATGATGACATAAAAGGCCGAGTTTTAATGCCAGCCTAGCAAGCAAATTGTCKATGGCCTGGCATGATGGACACATCCTTGAAGCGATAAATCACAACTGACCACTTGCCATTTACCTTATTAAATGTWGYTCTGTTATTTGTCAWTYCCYCTAAKTTAGTCACTGTTTTTGTGCACAGGCTGATGGAGGTTTATGAAAGATTAGAAGAACTAGATTCATCCCATGCAGAAGTCACAGCAGCCGAGATTCTTCATGGTCTTGGTTTTACAGCTTTAATGCAACAAACAGCCACAAAAAATTTCTCTGGTGGTTGGAGAATGAGAATAGCTTTAGCAAGAGCTTTGTTTATTAAACCTTCTATACTTCTTCTTGATGAACCAACCAACCATCTTGATTTGGATGCRTGTGTATGGCTTGAAGAAGAGTTAAAGAAGTAAGTTAGCTTGGTTAGCTTGAGTGTGGAGTGAGTAAAATGCTGTTCTTTTTATTGCTGGTTTTCAATCAATCCCTTGAGCTACTTTATTTATACATGTCAAATGACTTGACACCATTTTAATGTTTTGTTTTGTTATGTTACAACATGTCTTTCATGTTTCAACTGAAAACCAGCAATTGTGATAATTATTCATGGTTGATCCTTGAAGTTTTACTTGTCTGTTTGCATTTGCTACCACCCTGCTCTATTTTACATGTATAATGGGATTTCACCTCTTGGAAGATGTAAGATAGGATGGTTCAAAATAAAAGAAAAAAGCAAAAGTGTCAAAAGCTTTTGAAAACAGCTTACAGTAGACAATTAAAGAATTCAGAGAGAGCTGAAGACCTACATATTTTATGCAAGATGCCTAGTCATGATTTCATAAGCTCTCTTTGATTTAAACATGTTTCCTTTTCTAGCTACAAGAGAATACTGGTTATAATCTCTCATTCACAAGATTTTCTTAATGGTGTTTGTACAAATATTATACACATGACAAGAGGACAATTGAAAAGCTATGGTGTAAGTGTACAATATACAACTGGCATTAATTTAAAAACATAGCATCTTCGTGCACTGAGTTCTCAATAGAAAAAAAGGGTGTCTGTTCTAGCAAAAGTAGACAGAGGTTCTGTAGCTGTATTAACAGGAAAACTGCAAATAATCGATGAATAACTAAGCAGTTAGCAGCATTTTTGAAAGCTACCGTCTACTATTGAGAAGTCAGTACAATGTAATGTCTAGGTTTACAAGTCATATATCTCCATGCACTTTGTTATTATGATACTGTAGCGTCAATTGATAATAACAATTGTTGAACCTGTAATGTTGTTTTTAGGGTAATTATGATTCGTATGTCAAAACAAGAGCTGAGTTGGAAGAAAATCAAATGAAGCAGTATAATTGGGAACAGGACCAAATAAAGAACATGAAGGTGCGTAATACACCGTATACAGTCATGTACACTGACAAGTAATGAGAATAGGTCATTCCAAAATTCAAAAATGAATTCAGAAATGGATTCCATGACAAGACAGAACATAGTGACATTAGTATAGTTGCAGAATTTGAACATCCTCAAAAATCATATAGTGTGTACATTCTCTTATTTTCACGGATTTGAAAATTGCCATTCAACTAAAAACACTCAAACTTTAAAATAGCACTACATTGTACATGTACAGTACAATGTAATTGTTGGTCTTCATATGGCTGTGTTTAGTTTTTGATCAGTAGACTATTTTCWAAAGTCTCCTTTTGAATTTCAAAAAGGCCAAATGTTGGTGTTTCATAATAAATAATATTAAGCAAAAGCTGCATATAATATTTATATTACTTGTAAACTCCAGGAGAGCATATTTACAAAATAGTAATGCAGTGTGCTTTCATGGTCTTGCAGGATTATATTGCCAGGTTTGGACACGGAAGTGCAAAACTTGCAAGACAAGCACAAAGCAAAGAGAAAGTTCTGGCTAAAATGAGTGCTGGGGGATTAACTGAGAAAGTTGTAAAGGATAGGGTAGGACATTGTTTGTATTTTATAAATATTTATACATTCATCTGTATGTACGTAACTCTTTCAAAATTGTAAAGCCATCATAATCTATAGAGAATAATTCTCAATTTCTCATCCCTGCCATGATTATTGCCATTTTTCAAACCTAAAATTATAAATGATTTGTAAATTTTTTTTTTAGTCTCTATCCTTTTATTTTCCTGATTGTGGTAAACTTCCACCTCCTGTGATATCAGTACAGACCATGAGCTTTAGATATGCAGACGACAAGGTAATCAACACTCTGTTTTTAGCAGTAATTAGTAACTACAATCTTGGACATAAATGTTGACATTATTTATGTGCGCACAACATTTCTCACACTATTCATTAATAAAACCTTCCTCATGCCATCCTTACCCCCAAATACAGCTTGTTGTACCATCAAGCTCGTGAAGAGGATTGATGTGTCCTTACATATTGCCTTTTTAATTAGCCATACATTTACAAGAATCTTGACTTTGGAATGGATTTGGACACAAGAGTTGCACTAGTAGGGCCCAATGGTGCTGGTAAGTCGACACTGTTAAAGCTTATAGAAGGAACTTTAACACCAACAGATGGATTAATAAGACGTCATGGTCACTTAAAGATCTGTAGATATCATCAGGTAGGAATTCATGGCTCTTTTGGCTGGTTTACTATGACATAAACACAAGCATAAGAATAAATTTTCTCATTCTCTCATGCTTCTGCTTATGTGGACAAATTACAAAGGAGAACTAGCACAGTATAAGCATATTATGCTCAATGCTTATGTCAAGTGTAATAATACATGTAGTTTCTGCTGATGATGTAGGGTGAAGCTGCATAAAAATTTGTATTCATCAATCCAGTGGACCAGTGAACTACAACGTGTTGATAGTCCATAAGACCAGACTATCATTTCATAGTTCAAGAGACCAAGTGGTCTAATTGTTTTTGTATCCACCAAACTATAGGGCAAATTTGAAAAAAAAAATAACCGTAAAGACCATTTTTTCTCAACATTTATCAGTCAGACTATTTTTGCTTCATTTGACCATGGTCTATCATGAATATATCATAGCTCAGTAGCCAATCAGAATGCTGGATTTGTAATAGCTCATAGCTTGATGGATACTAATATGTGTTATTACAACTGAAACGTATGGTTTAAATATTATTAATTACCGGTAAATAAAAAAATTGAAATTTTATTAAATGTTATTTTTAATCAAATTGTTTAAAGCATTTACAAGACATGCTTGAGTTGGACCTTTCTGCCCTGGAGTTCATGATGAARTGTTTTCCTGAAATCAAAGAAGATGAAGTCATGAGGAGATCCATAGGACGATATGGTCTGACTGGCAAACAACAGGTATCTCTACAGTAAAATCCTTATGGACYTTGAACCATGTCAAGCTCTGCTTCTTTTTCATTTTTGTTTGCTTTCCRTTTTTCTGGTCTTTTTCACCCATTCTTTTGTTTCACTTTTTCTCCTTATTTTCTGTCATTTACAWGTATTTTTCCCATTTCTCGWTATTTKTTTCCTTTTTGGCTCAATTTGTTTATTGTTTTGGAATCTCTTATAATTTCATTTAAGTATGCCTTTTCTACGTTTTTACGTGATTATTGCACTGTTTAGTGCATAAAGCTGATATTTATTATTTTATAGATCTGTCCAATGCGAAACCTCTCCGATGGACAACGTTGTCGCGTTGTCTTTGCATGGCTGGCATTCCAAACGCCTCATCTTCTTCTCCTTGACGAACCTACCAATCATTTAGACATGGAGACGATAGACTCTTTGGCTGAAGCCATTCTTGATTTTGAAGGTGGTCTTCTGCTAGTTAGCCATGACTTTAGACTCATTAGTCAGGTCGGTTTGCAATCATTTTATTTTTTTGTATAGAGGCGAGCGCTTGAAGTTTTCACGGAAAACTCGTTTGGTTTTTGTCAAAACAAAAAATAATTTTGCTGTTATATTTTTGCTAAACAATGAAACGGTTGGTACTTGAACATATTGTCAGCTTATTGACCAATGATAGTGCGCGTTGTATTTTTGTTAGACAATAAAACGGTTGGTAAATGTACATGTACCACATAAATATAGGGCAAGCCTATTGACCAATGATAGTGCGCGTTATATTGCTATATGATAATAACATTTGTGTATATGATTTTTAAAGGTTGCTCAAGAGATCTGGGTTTGTGAAAAGGAAACAGTAACTCCATGGAAAGGTGACATCGTGTCTTACAAAGAAGAACTTAAGAAGAAAGTGACTAAGGAGAAAGCCAAAGCAAGAAAAGCTAAAACAAATCAACGATAAAAAATAGTCYATCAATGAAAATGAATGCGAGTTAAAGTACATTTATATAGCAAAGTCCACAAGGTATCTTCGCTGTTTTTTCCTTATATTCACAGGTTTGATATTTATAGTCAGTATAAGCTATGACTTTTTCTTGGAGCTAAAAGAGGGAGAATGTGAATTATTGAGTACATGTAGGAGGTCCTAAATAGGAAAAGAGAGTTGGCTGGGGAAGAGAGACTAATCCATGGCTAACCCTCTGACTGTCACAACTTTCTTAAAGTTTGGCGTACAGTTTGATCAGCTCTCAGTAACAAAAACAATAATTCTAAACCAACAAAAAGATTTCTGCTATCAAAGAAAACACTTTGATGAAATGGTTTTCATTATATATTTTCATGAAGTGATAMAATTTTAGCCTGAGTTCATCCAGCGTTTACCGGATGTACGCAGGCTATAGTCTAAAATGTGGACTTTTTGTGGAAAATTCGGCTTGATAAGCGTCGTCCCCAGGCTATACCGTTACATCTCCTTCCCAGTTTTTGGCGGATRATGGCGTTATGTTAGACAAGAGTAGCCTGGGACGAGTCAATAGCCTGACTTTCTAAGCAGGCAGAATAATTGCTTTTGCTCGCAGTCTATATATCAGTGGGCTGGCTACCCACTGCACTAATGAAACAAAAAAAAATCCTCATTTATTTTGGAAATTTAAATATAAACATTGTGTAGATCACACAGCTGTAAATTTAACGGTTTTTAGATTTACAAATTTATGAAAATAATGTCGCTTGTAAATGCTATGTTAGTGCTCTTCTTTGATCAATGTCGGTTTGTGTATGAGTGAGACGCAATGAAGCAGTTCACATACGGTGTGCAACTGCCTTTCGTGCTGTATTAATATAATGACGTCATGTTTTGTTGGGCGAAGTGCATCATGGTATTAATGAAAGAATCAAGATGGCGGATATCGTTTAAAAACGACAGAGAACGAAGTTTCTTTGCAAAATTAACGTTTCCCGCCATCCAGAAAGCTTTGGAGGGACATTTAAAAGATGCTTGTACATTACGGTATACCAAAATACATGTCTGGGAATTACGTAATGTTAAATCACGATCGAAAGATCATAAAGATAGCACACTTCGTACTTTAGTCAATCTCATGATGCACCTCGCGAATATCACTAGGGGAAAGGACTATTACCTCTGGTTGTGCTAGAAATTGTTCCCAGTGAATTAGGGACGATTGAGACTGATTTCCACTGACTGGTAGACAAAACAAKATACAAAACTATATTTTTACTACCCAAAAAAGAACTGAATATTTTTCTTATATTTTGGGTTTTCTGTAGCGAGGTAAAACCCGACCAGAGAAAACGTAGCGTAATGCTCACWGTCGAAATCATTCAGTTGTCATTTTCATGTGATTGTGTCTGTCATGGTTGATGCTGCGTMGTATGTTGCACGTAGCCCATCTCCTCTCCGTGTCATGTCAGTACCGATATGTTGCCGTGGTTTTGTGTTGCTTTTCATTTTCTTGAGGATAGATAACAACTAAACAAAAACGCTACGACAATGATTAAGAGTTGACGAAGAAAACTTTTTCTTACCTTCAATACTGAGGTTGCGCTTTGCCGCACGTACACACATTGAAAAAACGTAGTCGGATTGCAGAAGGTTACGTCATCAAAAGTCAAAAGATTGCCTGCATTGAATAAAATGACCTTCTTTACGAGTAAATATTATTTTTCCCTTAAAATCCCCTTCGGTACCATAGCTTTGAATAGCTTTGATCATCACCTTTTTGCGACCCGACAACGTTTTTTCAATGTGTTGTAATTTGGCTACACACTAAAATCTTATGCAAAATAAACGAAACACCGTGCCCTCTTTTCCCACTGCAAGGTTGCACACGCGTTCCTTTCGCCTCCTTTTCGATTTTGTAAGAATTCATTGACGAACAACATTGTAAAAAGGGAGGGGAGGTTGTAGTAACAGTATTTCACACAATTTTGCAAAAGATTTTAGAGTTGAATTTGTTTAAATATGCTATATGTTACCTTTTATTTATGTTACCCGAATATTATAARATGTTTTCAAAGCTATATTTATTTTAAATTCAAGAGCTTTAATCTAACACCATTTATGAATAAACGGTTGAAAACCACTCTACGTCTAGCGGGTTGTTTGTTTCTGTACAATATAGCRATTGGATAAGCAGTGTTGAGTGAGATGTGTGGCCGATTCTGTCATGAAGAAGAAAATCCTGGTGTAAACCCTCGTAAGACAGAAAGGGATGATTTTTACAGTTCATTTTCATTCGGCTCACGTTATAAAGTAGTATATTCTACGAGTGCSAATGGCAAGTGAGCGTACGCTTCGCAAAAACTCTTGATAGTACTTGTCRATTAATATTCTTTCGGTATGATTTGCATTTCATCAGTAAATACACACATTTTCCATTCTTTAGAAAACTTCTCGCCATTTCTAATGTCGTCCATCAAAGCAACGGGATCAACAGCATCCGAACAGAAATACGCCTCAATGATCCAATGGTAAAGCCATACATTATTAGGATCCCCAGAAACATCATCGAGTTTAAACACACATAGGCTCTCGAATCCTTTTAAACCCTGCAGAAATGACTTTAGCACATCGATAAGGGAATCGTCTATGMTTGCTTGGTTTGGCAGCATGAAGAGAATTTTGAATTTATTTTGGGTTTTCGGTCTCATGACCTTGTGTTTTTCAATCTTGTCTGTCCATGAGACAGCCTCGAAGACACCAGCCTGAAATGATCATATCACAACTTAGCTGTAGTGCGTGATAGCATAAATTGTGCATAAATCCAACGAACTACTTTWAAACCATTCCCCAATGCACGACCGTCACTAAAGAAGGCCTACYACAGCCGACCATATGTTGCGGAATGCACCTTTCTTGTCGCGATGAASAATACTGATTTTCATCAAGAACTGCGCGCAATGAATGACGATTTCGCGCGCTCATTAATCAGGCTGTGAATCAGATCGAACGCATTCGAGAAATTTATTGTCATGTAATTGAACCACGTGGCGTACTTACGTTAGATACAGTTATATGTCCTCGCGTGGCAGGAACCGGGACGCCATCGCGAAATACAATCTCAACCGCCTTTTTCGAATCCCACCAGTTCTTTGCWACAAACTTGTAAGGATTGAATTCGCCGGAAATTGTGAATTTCTCTGACAAAATAATGTTTTCGATGCCGCGCGCGTAGAAGCCTTTACCRTGGGGTATCCACGCGTGTTGGAAGAGCTCTGAAGGCAAAGCACCGGCTGTGTTGAATGTTACAAACTGAGCGAAATGCTCTTTGCCAATATCCATGGCAGGTCATTCCATTCTCTAGAGCTGCAGTCAGAGTTTTTGGGCGATTAATGACGTCATAATCAATTGGTCGCTTTATGGGAGAGGCCCTCTTGGGTCTCCTCTGCTATACAGACACGGGGAACTATTATGGAAACTTCCACGACATTCTAGGTCTTTCAGCACCGACACGAACCAGGATACGTGCAAACGGTACAATACGATTTCAAAACKCAATGTCCATTTTTTTGTAGACGCAACAGGGAATCGTAAGCTTGAAACGAGAACAGGGAATCGTAAGATTGAAACGAAAGCCACTTCGTGAAACACCTACACCGAGAATTCTGGCGTGGAAGATTGATTTGATAGATTGCGCGTAGAATGTCTTTCCCCATCTTAATCATTTTTATCATTGTATTTCGTTTTTTCTTGACTTTATTTTCTATAGAGAGCATATCCTTAGACTGAAAATTTATAGTTATTGTGGTTGAGTTATAGTTTGCCATTCTTGCATTACCGCAGGAAGCCCATGTGAGCGATCGTTGATCCCCGCAACTGACAACCGTCAGAGTTCACTGGTCATATAGAAGTACAACCGCCAGATTCACTGAATTGTCATTTTCACACTAATACGCCATTTGGTAGTTTCACCGAATAGATTATCGCAATTTTATCATTATATTTTCAATAATTTTCCGTGCATATAATATATTTATGAAAAATGGAGAAAACAATTAAATTGATTGCATATGCTCGGACATCGCAAAAAAAGTGCACATACGGAGTATAGTGCGAATTAGGTATGATATTGTAATTTGGCATTTTACATGCGACTTACTTGATTTAATAGATGTGGAGTTTACGCAAAAAACGTTCAAAAATTAAAACAATAAATAATAAAATAATCTAACCACAGCACCCGCTTTATAATCTTGTAAAAAAATTATAATAATACTCATTTTCTCTGATGAAAATTCGTTCGTTGAAAATCGCGCATTGTTCTATGCTTAAGATGTGCTCTGGGTGGGTAGGAGTATTTTTTGACCCAAAGTGTATATCAAAAAGACCAGTCACGATTAAAACGAGTCAAACAGACTTGAAAAATGGCGTAAGTCAAACTTTATCTAAACATTTTTTCGCTATTATTTAGTCTCTTATAAAATGTCTACCTAACAACGTTATCAAAAGCATAACTTGTCAATAATGATTGGGTGGGCTACCTGTTTCGAAACCAGGCCGCACAGTCAGAGCGGCGGAACGCCTGGCTAAATCAGTAGTACAGTAGCAAAAGTTGCTTATGCAAGCTGAATATAATTTGGTGAGTATATTACATCCTTTGCTCCTATTAGAGTTKTAGCTTAATGAAACCCAAACAGCGCGAGGAAGTTAAGTTCCTCYGTAACTGTAACAATCGCGCCATCGGCCTAGGTAAGCTATTAATAACTGAGCATGGATATGAGCAGAAATTTTGACTCAAGTTAATCTGATTGACTAAATATTTTCATTTCTTGTTGTAGACCCGACAGGAAAAAGTAGTGATATAAAATGGCAGTAAATTTATCTCTTAGAGATCTGGAGGACGAAGTCACGTGTTCCATTTGTTTAGATCAGTACCRGGACCCTCGRATCCTTCCTTGTCTGCACACCTAYTGTAGAAAGTGCCTGTTTAATTTACTGGAAAAAGGCTCTATTCAATGTCCTATATGTCGAGTGATATCACAGGTCAGAAAGACTGAATATTTTTTTTTGCTTTTGCTGTGTTTTGTTAAGGGGGAATTCCTGTTTTTTTTGTTTTGTTGTTGTTGTTGTTGTTGTTGTTGTTTTTTTTTTTTGGGGGGGGGGGGGGGGTGTACACGTAGTTTTATTATGTGAATTAATTCTATTATTTCTTGACTAATATTAGAGTGCAATTCCTTCTCCCACTTTTCATATTTATTTCTACCCCCAATGAGGGAGGGGTTTCCTTTGGTTCTTTTAGTATGGAATGGTTATCATACCCTTGTAAAAAGTCAGCATTGATTTTTGATTATGTTACTTACCGAATTCTTGAAGGTCAAAGATGTTTCTTCATTGCAAGTAAACATATGGGTCAATAATCGTCTATCACTACTTGAGCTTTCAAAAGTTGAGAAGCRAAGCAGTGAAGAAGAGCAGCTGCTATGTGGAAATTGCAATCTYAAYCAACAAGCCACAGGAAAATGTTTTGATTGTGGAACATTTATGTGTGATACCTGCATCAAAGCACATAAACTCATGGCAGTGCTAAAGAATCACCAGTTATTGACATTGGAAGAAATCAAAAGCAAAGGTATTCCATCCATTGAGAAGAGAATATTGTGTGGTAAACATAAGGACGAACAACAGAAGCTTTTCTGTGAAGCTTGTGAAACACTGATTTGCAGAGATTGCACTTTGATTGACCATAAAGGTCATCAATTTGGATTCAYCCCAGATGTTATAAAAGGACAAAAAGGAAACCTTCAAAAGAAAATKCAAGATCTATGTGAAACCAAGAAGAAGATWGAATCTGCTTTGAAGGCAGTCMAGGAAATGCAAGATCGAGTGAGGAAAAATGAGGAAACTCTCAAGAAAGAGATAGATAGGACAATMGATGCRCAAATWGCAGTTCTGAACCAAATACGGAGAAATCTTAAGCAAAAGTCAGCAAACTTGACAGCGACAAAAATGAAGAGGCTCTCCTCRCAACAGGATGGTCTTGAGATGCATTTAGCAGCTCTGACAAACACACTCAACTTTACTGAAAACATTCTTGCCAAGGGTAGCACTAGTGACGTTTTGTCATTGGTAAAACAAATCAATTCACGATTTTCAGAAGTYTTGGAAAAAGAAATTGATGGAGAGGTGGATAAGGAAGACSTGCAATCCTTAGAAKTAAGTGAAAAATTTAGAAGCAATGTACAAGACTATATTGCAATCCAAGACACATCTGCTCCTGATCTACAAAAGTGTACAGTGAGTTGGAAAGACAACAACACTATTTGCCTACAAGTCAGGAATCATTTGAATGAACCAATCAACATAAGAGCAAGCAGARTTCAGATAAATYCCCATCGTTCATTAACCTTAACATGCTCCAAAAGTATTRGTAGGGTAGGTGAATTTATGATAAATGGCTCATTTCAACGCCCAAGGTACTACAGTTACAGTTTCAGCGAAAACCATTTCAAGGTGAACATTGATGGACACTTTGTTGAAAAGATACATATACATATTTGAATGATATGATTGATGAATATTCATTTCTGCAGTTAAAAATGACAGTCTCCTTATTATCTTTACGTAAAGGGGTGTAAATTGTGTTGAATTGACTCCATCCAGCTTTGGTCGACCTGTGACTTTTGATTTAAAAATCAAATAGATTAAAGATAAGTTAGAATATTACTATTAAAAACTATTAAACACTGTCTATTAGTAATTGTTTCGCAGATAAATGAAAACTACCCTACTCATGACACACTCTTTGTAGATGATTCGTTTTGATTGCCGGTTTACATGTTTCATTCGAAGACCGCATAGCCTGCGTAGCCAGGCATTTCTAGCCGCTCTGAGAGAGTTTGGGCCGAGACCTAACACTTCTGGGTTTCTCCAGCCCAAACTCTCTCGTAGCGGCTAGGAATGCCTGGCTACACAGGCTAAAGACTGCAATGCATTGTTGCTATTAAATTCCAGGTTTAAACAGGTTTAATAGGTGCATTATTCCACTAAAGTTCTTGATTGTATGGAGCTTGTGTAGTCACTCTGACACCATGAAAAGTTTAATAGAACGACCAACAACCTGAAAAGCTGGATACGGTTATTGAGGCTTTAGGTTCTAGCATTTCTTATGCATCATTGAATTCATCAAAAAATTCGTTATTAAAAGAATGATCACATAACTTGCAGATAATTTCAACCTATATACGTTAAGCTTAGAGCTAGACCAGATTTTAAACTAAATTATAAATAAGACTTGGGGAGTTAATCAGATACTAATACTAATAACTATTATTGTAGAAATATAGAGTATCAGTAAAAGAACATATATTTATAGTATATATGGAATTAATCAGTTYCATTAATATTCATGGTAATGTGTTGGTGCGTGTTCCAAACAAAAGTTTTTTTTCCGTGAAAAATTACAAAGCAAAATTGGACCCATATTGAGTAAATGTATGCACTTACTGATGYACTCAGACTCGAGGAGTTGAAGTTGGCAAGCTTAATCATCTTTCATTTGGTAAGCCTAGTTCCATGTAAAACAAATTGTGATAGTGTATTAGTCGAAAAATCAGACAATCATTTCGGGGGCTTTCAAAATTAATATGCTAAAAAAAGCATTCCTTGTGTATTTGAATCTCATCTCTCTAACGTCGCTATCTCAAATGTTGCAATAAGAAGATGTATTGTACATCGTAAAACTTTAGAAAATTTACAGAACGTTTGTTCTGTCTAGGGATTGATTTATTAGCTATAAGAACTCACTAAAAACAGGGCATTATTTAGTAAAAGCGCTCAATTTGTCTTGAGGATAGATGAAACCTTTTCAAAAAGTCATAATACAAAGATTTCCTTGGGGTAACTTTMTTTGGAGCGGAATAGCAATCTCTGGTGCATTAGTGTTGATGGTATCTTGACGCGACTCTCAATGATACTGCGTCATATCCATTGGAGTAGCGTAAATCTTCTTGAACAACCGTGTTTTGCATTTCTATAACAGGTCAAGCAAATTTAAAGGATATTTTAACCGAAAATGGCCACTCAAAGTCAAGTTGACGGGGGTCTCATTTGTGGCATTTGCCTAGAGAAGTATCAGGACCCTCGTATCTTTCCATGTAAAAATACACATACTTACTGTGGAAAGTGCCTGAAAAAYCTTCGWGATAAGTGCGCTCGATCGCAAGTGATGTGTCCTGAATGCAGAGAGATTGTTGAGGTTAGCATTGATCTCAATTTATATCGATCACTAAGTAATTAAGCATTTGTTTATTGTGGCTAATTCTTTTAGATCAAAGATGTTTCTTCGTTATTACCTAACAGATGGGTCAATGATGCACTAGACCGTGAGATGCATCGGAAGGATGGAGCTAATGATTTGGTATGCGCCAGGCATGGAAATAAGCATAAGGAGTTTTTTTGCGAGGACTGCAAACTCCCCCTTTGCAAAAAATGCAAAAACAGTGATCACAAAGCTCATAAAACTGCAAAAATTGGTGACATCACAACAAAGTACAGAAATGAACTCAGCAATCAAATGAAGAACCCCAATGTAAGAAAGATGGTCGAAGATACTCGCTCAGCGTTGAAAGCTGTGCTTGATGCGAAATATAAAGTTGACAAAAATTCAAGAGAAATCGAAAAACAAATCAATGAAAAGATCAACCAGAAGATCAATGATCTTGAACAAGCAAGACGGGATTCGCTTGATCAAGTAAAAAGCATGGAAGGAGCAAAGATTCAGAGACTTTGTAACCAACAAGAACAGCTTGAGTGTCATTTGGAGAAAGTGAAAAATGCCATCTCGGCCTCAGACGCCATTCTGCAAAGACCAACCCAAAGTAGCGACGTCTCGTCAATGGCGATTATCGCAGAGAAATTCCAAGAAATGCTCCAAACGCAAATTGATACTGAGGTCACCACAGACGAAGATGGTTTAATCTTGCAAACTAACGATGACTATTGCATCGATATTGCCGCAAACTTTATAACGGTTTTTGATAGGAATGTCATTGATCGTGGCAATTGCAAAGTGCGCTGGTCAGACCAACAACGTAATGCACTTCTACTAACAGTTCAGAATTCCTTCAAAGAGCCAATAGACATAAAAACAAATCGAATTGAAGTAGTTTGTRCATCATATCCGGAAGTGAATGGCATTAGTCCTCGTAAAGTCAACCTCCCCACAGTTGAAAATTTTGTCATAACGGGTGAGTTCGAAAAACCGTCCGGCGAACGTGACGAAAGAGGCATTCACAAGCTCCAAGTACTAATTGATGGAGAGGAGGCAGACTGGTGTCGAATAAAAAAACCGGGTGGTGGGAAAGGCTCTTTGACAAGCCGGCTATCATTTAAAAAATTGAAATCAAAATTTAAACGATCTTGAACATTAGAACGATTTCACATAAGGATACAAAAAATGCAAATAGGTTTATTTTATGCAAATTTATTGACTGTAAAATGAATTAATGTAATCATGTAATACAGACTCTATTCTCTCACGTATTGCAGCTTTTAGCTACTTTATATTATCATTACATCACAACAAAACACGAACATTTCATTTTCCGAGCAGACTTGACATGCGCTTCAAACTTTGTGCCAAGCTTTGCTATAATTTCTATCATAGCACATGCAGAACTGTACCATGCAGCATCTAGTACAAGCTTAGCTTCAAATATTTTCAAAAAGGTTGACACCTGTTTCGGCCAAAAATACCACAAGATCAATGGCAGGAGGGAGTAACCACCTAGGGTGTCTCTTGCGTGTGAACCGCTTTTTTGAGAAAGCCGAGCAAAGGCTGGCCAACAAAAAGTCRAGTCCGTAATTATATTTGGACTCAAAAAAGACTGTTTTGTTTTGCTCGTGATGAATAACAATAAAATCTAATTATAAGATAGGAAACAATGATGCAATATAGAAAATGAAGCGTGTATTGCATCATCACATGACTCGGTTTATTTTACAGTCAATAAAATTTGCATAAGATAAACGTATTTGCATTTTTTGTATCGTTATGTGAAATCGTTCTATTACACGGGCAGTCCCGGTAAATAAATTTGCCCTCCAGCATTTGTGAACTCACCAATAGAAAAAAAGAACTCTTCTGGCTTGTTTCTAGCATGCTCGTCTCCTCTTTCTCCCTCGCGCACGCGCTCATGTGTCATGGGAAGGTCGCATTTCACGTGACAAAAAGACGACTGGGGACGAGTCAGACTGATAACTAGATATCATTACACTCATTTAGTCTCCAAAATTAGTAGCAGTGCAAGTAAAAAGCATAAAACAAGAACCACTTCGTGGAACATACCGTGTCCAGTTTTGCCGTGAAATATATATTTTTTACCAGCGCCGCAATGGATTTGATAGATTTTGCGTCAGTGATCTTTTCACATCATCTTTTGAAATATTTTTACCATTGCAGCGAAAATCTAGCAGTGATCAGATTTCATTCGCATTATCYTTAGAAAATTTATAAGATAGCGTTCTACTGACAACACGACCTTACATTCCCTCCGACAATCACCCAGTACAACACTGAGCGTATAGGCCTGTTTTCCATAAATCAACCGAGTCATCAGTTGCCAGAAAAGTCAGRAAATGTTTGCGAGACTTAGAGAGGGTCGCCAGCAGCATTGCGACTGGGCTGATTAGGACGATTAGTCAACTTTCGCCTTACGGACACCCCATTATAACGGACACCTCGTATTTACGGACACGAAATACTGAATTCCCRGCGAAAAATACAAAGAAATGCCTGAAAATAACTCCCGTTATTACGGACTCCCGCTAATGAGGACACTAAATTACGGTTCCGATGGTGTCCGTAATAGCGAGAGTTGACTGCACATGGAAACCAGGCTACAGAGACAACAATCAAGCGTTACAATCGTTACGGACGTTTACTAACGACACTTTTTACAACTTTCTGAGGTGCACGACCTCACTTTAATTCCTATTCATTATCGGCCTTTGTTTCTGCATACTTTTTATAATGAGAATTCGATTAGATTCAACAAGAATTGGCATATAAAAATCAAAATACAAAATAAAAATAAAGCCATATTGTAACATAAAAAAATTCCTATGGATTCGACTGCACTGATGAACTCGCGTCCACTGGGAAACGTAGTTTGTACCGAGGGTGGTTTATGGCGGCCAGAGCTTGGTCGGCGTCAGCAGCACAAGAAAATACAGCCCGCACAGTCTCACGGGTATCATCTTGCCATTTAATTTTGGCGCCAGCTGATTTCAAGTCCTCAAACAGCTCGTCGGCTTCTTGGTCTTTTATACCRGTGGGTAAGTCATATATTTCTAGTACATTGCCTAAAAACAGCAACGAAATAACACCAGTGATTAATGGTATTCTAAAGCTACAGTAATAATTTTTAATAATAATCATTATTTAACATAAAGAACACCTTTGTAACTCAACTCTCGTTTTAACACATGCGTAACCATAATCAAGTGCCCGGAGACTTTCCACATTATCAAAGTTGCTTTAGCACGAACCGGTTGCGATCTAAAATGCTGCTATTGCATGTTATATACTATTGCAGTCTAATTACCTCCTGACGATGTGTCGATGTCAGACGATTTGCTGCTTTGTTTCTTCAAACTTTGTTCACGTGGACTGTCCTTTTTCTTGTGATATTGTTTGGATTTGTGCTTCGAGTATTGATGRTGAGATGCACTAGATCCRCTTACTGCCTGTGGCTGACCAAACCTTAAAATCACATTCAAAAGCACTGATTAGTATTGGTTCATTTTATTCCAAATTCCACGTCAAGAAATATTGGAACTCAATATGCAGAAATGATATCACTTCATGATGGCGAGGGTAATGCTATTGAAGAGAGAATACCGAGCTGATCGTGGCGAAGAGGAATGGAATTGCGATGAATGTGGCTGTATTGCTAATTGATGATACTGCCATAATTTTAAGACTTTTCAACCGATTGTGATGATGCCAGTGATGAAAGTCGTAAGCGATGACAGTGAGCAATGGCGTTAGTAATTTTGATAGTTCTTGCGATAATGCTGATTAGTGTTTTGATGATTATGATGACAATGATGATATAAGTCTAMCATACCTTTGAGGTTGAAAATACTGTCCATATCGATCACCTTGAGGTATCATTGCTATCTGTTCCCCGTATTGTCCATAWGCAACTTGAGCCATTCCTGGCTGACCAACCACCATACCACCTTCATAYATCTCAGACGACTTGGCACCTCGTCTATCAATATTATASACTCKATTTTGTCCAGGTTGGTGGAATTGCGCAGGAACTGGTACAACATGGTAAGGGGTCATGCCACCTCCTTGAGAAGGAATCTGACTAGGYTGATTACTTKGTAAAACTGTGGCGCCTACAGGGACTTGCTGTGTTCCTGCAACTACTAAAGGAACCATTTGTCTAAGAACAGGGGATTGAGTGGGTGCTGTTGCTGGTTGGTGTTGATACTGWGTGTTTTGACCTGACTGTTGACTGTAAGATGAAGGTGAGGACGTTCGTGGTGGTGTGGGTGGCGACTGTGATCGTTGAGTTTGAACAATAGGCCCATCTTTACTAAAACCATACTGTGGTTGAAATGCTGAAGGAGARTAAGKCGTTTGAGGCGGTACTACATATGTAGGATTCTGCTGAGGGGAGTTAGTTGGCTGCATGGATGGAGCTACCATGTGAGGTCCAACCATGGGTCGAATACCTTGATGGGGGTGCATGCTTTGGGGAGGAAGCATGACGTACTGTACTTGGCCTGGTTGACTGGACCCTTGTGAGATACTTGATGCATACATTGATGTGGAAGTAGTTGAYGAAGCTGAAGCTCCKGATTCAGTAGCTATWATTCCATGTTGTATTGGTTGGTCCATGTCTTGGGGTTGTCCAGTAATTGTCATACCACTAAACTGATTGCCTAAATCCTGGTATGATGCCATTTGCTGTGTATTACCAGACCAGTGTACTTGGCTTAAGCCTTCTGATCCCTAAATATATAAAAAATGTTGTCAGGGAAACCAAGTAGATTTTATTCTATTAAAATGAACCAATAGACATTTTAGCAATGACTTAAAGCCGAGGTTATAGCACAAGGAAGGCAATAAGAATATAATGGCTTAGGATCCCCATGGTTTACAGTATTAATTTTTGAATATTTCACACAATTGAGACAGCACTGATAACTTGATGATTTTCAAGGACTATTCTTTTAAATATTGCTCGAAGTTTCTTGGTGATTTTTTTTTACATTCCTTCATTTCAATAAAAAAGACAAAAAAAAAAAACAACACGTAGACTCCAGCAGCTCAAGGAGTATTCCAGAAGTTTTTTTTTTTTGGAGTTTACCAATTTTTGTGTGCTTTTCAAGTGCCCTTGAAAACGGGTTTTCAATCCCAGGGCTTTTCAAGGATTTCAAACAGTAGCACAAAGCCAATGATATAGACACATACCTGCTGTCCATAGTGTGATCGTCCTGGTTGCTGGACAACAAACATGGGATGCTGCATACCMATATAAGGAAGAACCATCTGCCCTGGAGACAATGTAGGGGACTGACCAACCTGTGTGGTAGACTGTTGCTGTGGTCTGTGTTGCTGTGCTTGTTGAGGATAAGCTGGATTACTGCCTGGTTTCATAACCATTGGTTGGTATGAAGGATGGACAATGACTGGGTTACCATCAGGTCCTAGTGCTGGCGTTCCTGCACACAATATTCATGTTTACTGGAGTTGTTTTCATTTACATGTACTGTGAAATAGACTTTCATTCTACATTATTTTACGTCTCATTCTTTATTTTATCACACAATACAGTATTACACTTTTTGTATTACTACTTGYTTCACAGGGTTATGAAAACCACTCCATACTATCAAATGATAACCTATACTATCGTATGATATATTTGTTCACATTTATAATCCAATATTATAATGGTATAATCACGTGATTAGATTCTCAGTATATCATTGGCTAATGACATTATGAATTATTAATGAGTTKGATAATAATTACTATTGAAGAAATGTTTAATGGCAAAAGTGCCAAGCAAGGTTGATTATAAAGACAAAAGTGGCTATTCTTATTTATATTTTTATCTATTTATTCATTTATTAATTCATATAACACGCTAAAGACTTTTTAAAASAGTTTTAAACCCCAAGACGTGTACCCTGCATAAATACTTAAATGCTTTCATAAATAGAAGACTATAACTAGCGATTTTTATCAAAAGTAAGCGCTGCGATGCTGGAGAAAGGCAATCGTRTATGAAAAGTTTTTATCACTGGTTTGGTACATCTGCGCTGTGGGGATTGTGCAGAGTCCTCAGCGAAGATGAAAGCCTGATTTTAAAAGTTTTTATTGATATAAACAACATTTTCTTTCCGAAAATACATAGTATAAATTTGTTTATTTGGTATTATGATAATATAAACTTGATAGTTTGCTTTTAGTTAGTCATTTGTTTATCTGATGTTATGCTAATATAGTACTTGATTCTAATGAATATTATCGTGCGACACAGGGATCCCATTTTTGTTTGAAATAGTGTGCTGCTCGGTCGCTGCGCTCGCAGCAAATATGTAAAACTAGAACCCTAATGGATAAAAATAATAATTAATAATTTACCTGTACTTGGGTTTATAAGCATCATGCCTTGCTGTATAGATTCATTAGGTAATTGCCAAACCACATTACCTGGAAAAAAAGGGATAAACAATATACAATAATCTAATCATCAAATCTATCTATCATTATCACTGATGAACCAAGGGTTACAAAAAGTGAATTCTGTGTTTTTAGTGCATACTTACCTTGTTGTGGTGTAGTGGTGCCCATGACAGRAACCATTCCTTGCATTCCAGCATGACCTTGTACCATTGGCACCTCATTGCCATGAACAGGTACCACAGGAACCCCCTCTGGTGTCCAGTACTGCATTCCAGACACTGGATAACCTGCAAGAGGYACTCTAGTTCCTTTTGGGCTTTCTGTGGATTTATTAAATCGTTCAGCRGCAGCAAAGGCAGCAGCACTTCCACCAGGACTACTGCTTGACCTGTTTAACACCCTATTGGACATAATTCTAATTCCTACAAAATAACAAAATACAAAGACATTAGGCTCTTACACATACAAGAAAGAATTTGAATAAACAAAATGAATCTATACTATTCTGTTATCAATATGAGGAAACTGGCTTGGAATTTTTAGGTTTTTACTGTATTGTGAGATGGAAGGGCAACAATGAGAGAGTTCCAAAGGAAAACAATGTTGCTACCCCCCTGAATTCAAAGAGAATGTGGCTGAAATAAAGTAAATATTAACTAAACATAAAAATAGATATCACAAAAGGGAGTATCTTTCKTCTTGACAACATATTACAGAAACTGAAAAGCCTTTTATGGTGACATAGTTTGTTAAAATAGTATACATACAGTAGTCCTTACAGTTTTAGGTCAAATAAAAACATTACAGAAGTGTACCTGATCGTGCCACTGATCCTTTATCCATGGTCCTCTCATCAAAAGACTGYGACTTTAATAGAATCCTAGGCATTGCTTCTTGAGATAATAACTCTGTGTCTTCCCTAGAGAAATGATTTTCATGGGATAAAGTTACATAGATATAAAGATATCATCCCTTGAATTAAGCTCAATATTACAGTGGCAGCAGTACATTTAAATATGGTGGATACATGTAGGTTAGGAGATGCTGTTACCTTGTAAGTATCTGAGGTTGAGGAATATCTCCATCGCCCTTGGAAGACTGYGACGACTGTGAAGACTGCGACTAAAAAAAACATAAAACAGCAAACATGAATATTATAGCATCACATAGCAATAAAAAACAAGGAGAGAACAGTGGTTCAATTCCTGTTCCATTGATCATAAGTACTTTTATTCTTGTACCCATGAGATCATTCTCAGTTTCCCAATCGAAAAATTGAAGACTCTGGGTGTAGACAAATGACGCTTTGATTTGATTGGTTCAAAAATTCCCATGCATCATCAGTATGCCATATATCATATTATGACCCAGGGTCTGGGGCTTGAAGTTTGTCTCCAACCAGAACGTTCAATTTTCCCCTAGGAAACTGAGGAGGGTATGGTATTTAAGAGAATGATGTACATGTACTTTGAGTTTGCAAGCTGGTTTTAGCTTTTGAGGGTGATTTTAATGAAGAAAAAATAATACTTTCACCTATGAATTAGAATTTTTACACAGGCACAGAGAAGGAAAACAAGAGATAAAATGTTGGAGAAGCACAAAGCAATTTAAATTTGTATCGACTAACATTCTTGTACACCTATACCAAAGTTTGTTGACCAAAAAACTTCATTTACATTTTATGCATGTAAAGCACATAAAATTAAGAGAAAGGTTTTCAATCCCAGAGCWTTTCAAGAAGCACAAACCTTGTATTACAGTACCAGTATCTTAAATCTTTGTGTCTTTTTTTGTTTTGTTTTGTTTAGTTTTTTAAGTCCAATACTTACACTCTGATTAAATATTCTTTCTTTTGCTTTCCTGTACTCTTCCTCTCTCTCCTCAAAAGACTTCTGACGTTTATCGTCCATGCTAAGACTTGCAAGCAATGGACTGTCAATCTAAAAGACACCAAAATGTTTGTCCCAGTTATACATATTAAGGATGTACATAATTTGAGGATTTTGTTTATCAACTGTCAGTTAACATAATGATCTTATAATAATTTTAGTCAAAAAGTTTACATCAACTTACTTTTGGAGGAGTACTGTCACTTAGAGGAATRTTGTCTCGTCTAAGAATCGATTTTGGCATAGATCCTTCTGAATCTTCTGAATCTTCTCTACTTAGAGATACTAGATCTGCAAATCTTTGCTCTGGTCTGTAATGTCATAAACAAGTAACAAAGAAATTAATAAAAAGAAAATATAATTTTGGATAAAAAAGAATGGGATCAAAAAAGAAATTAAAAAGAACAAAACATAGTTTTGGATAAAAAAGTAAATAACCTATAATTGTACATGAAAAAAAAACAATATACAAAGTACTAAATAACTATGTAAACGGTTTGATTTCATGTACTTGAAGATAAAATTCACAATAATGAATGATAAAAATAAATAGAAATTCATGATAGCTTTATAAGTTTATTTTATACATTCTTCCATATAGTAAGATTTTTCCGGATTTTCATGGTACAATTGTCGCGTACGACTTGTATTATATGATTTTCCTWCGACCGCGGTTCAAAATCCTACTACAAGTCATAGATKGCGTATGACTGTTATTAGCAAGTAGTAGGGGCATTTACACGGCACAATTTGGAGCTCATTTGAGTAGTATAACACATATCGCATGTGACAATCGTTCCGTGTTAATCCTCCTTAACTGACTACAATACCAATGTCCATGAGTCTGTAAATTCTTAGTGACAAGTTCTCTCTTATCTTAATAGAATAACCTATTGGTATCATTTACTTACATTCTTGTGTTGATACTCTTGTTGATAATGACAGACTTTCCAGTCTGCTGGTCAACATTATGCTCCATACCAAAAAATGCAGCCACCCTGTGTACTATCATCCTGTAGTACGACGTCATTGGTGGATACTTTATGAAGATAATCCTGGGTGAAAAGACATAGTTACGAAAATTATTAAAATGCTGCACATCCTTTCACTATCAACTATAGATTCATGAATGCATTTTTAGCAAATCATAATAAAATTCACAACAGTGAACATCCCTTTATACTTATATAATATAAAAAAAACTAAATCTACTTACAGCGGATCTTGAATGAAGTTCAAAAAGTCATGCTCAAGCTTTAATACAAATTTTCTATCCCTAAACCAAGAAAAATGTAAGATGAAATTGTCAACATTCAAAAAATCTTACAAATTCAAACTGTGTTTACCTTGGATTCTTTAGTGTTTTCACAATAAATTCATGCAAATCTGTCCCAGTGGAATCRGTGTATTCAAAAGAATTATCTAGAAATAGCAATGATAACATTAACCAAATAATTCATCAGTATTAATCAATAGCAAAGAAGGTGACTGGATTGAATCTGTCAGATTTGAYCTAATTTACAGAAAGACCCCAGAGAAGATACAGTCATTTTCAAAAATTCTGACCACTGTTAACATRTATCATTATACATGTATCRGSTGTATCTTGGGYAATTTGATGTGATTTTCATTCTTTTCTTTCTCAAACAGTTCACATGTTTATTAAAGGTTATTCTAGCATAATCAACATTTGTTATATGACAAAATAAGGGTTTAAATCAGCAAGGCCTCTTGATTACTCATGGGAAATACACTGAGAAAGACTCTGCCAGCATAGAACATCTTGAAAGGTAGCTGTGCCTTTACATCGAACTGAGATGACCATTGAGTGTGCAATGATAGAAACCTTCTTTCACACCTGCAGACAATYATTCACAGGTATTTACCATTGCATGTTCAACGGTCGTCTTGATTCGATTTAAAGGTGTGGCTACCTTTCAAGATGGCGCAGGGAACCGTGAAGGAGACTATTGTGAAGAATTACTGTAGAAATCCTGYTCATTCGTAATTGTTGGCCATAACTACTCACCCCTWGAAAAAGACCCTTGTTTATGAGCCATGTATTCTTGCCTGGGTGTTGATATCATGTCACTGTCATTAGCGTGGTATGAATACTCAAAACTTGCACTTGTTACTGTTAATGGCGCTGACCCCTGAACATTTATTAAATCATTACTCATTAATAATTCATTACTGAGCATCTTAAATTAAACCAAATGCAGTAGAGTTTAAACAACAAAACCATGAAAACGTTAAAGGTATTTACCATGTCAATTAAGATGATGTGGCAGAAAAGGCTTTCTGCTCATATGTGATATTTATAACTTTTTTTATAAATTACATGGTCATTTATTTAGATGTACCTCTAACTCTTCAATTTGTCCAGATGGTGGTGGAGATGGTGTACTGCGAAGAGCTTGACTTCTCACTAAGGTTTTACGTGGATTATRAGGCTGTAGAAATAATGGTTAAACAATGTAATGTAAGACCATGGACTGCGCAGAMAGATTTTTCAATGAAAGCTCTAATAGGTAGATAAACTCTACTATTATCAGCCCTATCTAAACCCCTTTAAAAATGCTGCAGCATCAATGAAGACTCCCTAACGTTTGTCAATATTTTGTTAATCCAGTTATAGAAATGAAAGCTCAGTTTAAATGATCATGTCCAATATGCAAACTCCAATGATTGAACAGTAGCCACTATCAAAGATCCAARACTTAATGAACAGTTTTCAAGATAATATAAAATGTATATTTGATGGAGCTGCAGGAACATGATTCAGAACTAAAGAGTCAATAAGAGTGAAGCACATATACCCCGTTACATTGATCAYGATCTCCATTGCTTAAGCYGTGGCTACAAAATCTCCAGCGCACAATTTGGTTACAGGAGCGACAATGCTGTRTCAATWAAAAAATCYTCACAAAAATCTCCAYAAAGAGGTATATATACAAAAACAGATCAAATTCGATGTTCAGCTTCCAGCCTACCCAAAAATCGCATYGCCAYAGCTTGATTCMCAGATGAACAAAACCACAGTTTTTGTTCGGCATCAGGCWGGCTACTGAGAACCTACTCACCTCAGATGCTGCCTTGGTTAAACGTAATGACAATCCCGGGCTTTGCTGAACATGGACAGTACTGTATGACATAGTAGAAGAATCTGATGCCATGGTTACTGCTCGAGGTTGCTGCCTTGGTGATTCAGTTGTTTCTGCACTTGATACTTCTGCAGTTGTGACGATAGACGTGTTCTAAAATAAAGAAAACCTGATTTATCCAACTGTAYTGTTAATTATGCAGTGTATAGGGTGACCTTGAAAACATTTACAATCAGATGCAAATTAAATTGGCACACTTTATTCTAAATTTACTGAATTTGAAATTTGTAATGATGTAAATTATCCTCCTAAGCCCTGAACAATGTTGACGTGAATCACATCATCCAAGGTCTTAGAGCAATTCCACAACAATAATGTACCAGGGAGTGAGTGGGAYRGAGTTACTTCTTCTCCATTTTAACATGGGCTTCCCGTGGAAAATCACATCCTAAATTAGGCCTGGACTTTCTTCATAGTTATGGTTCAAGTGTTTTTKGGCATCAAATGGGAGGGGCCTGCAACACGCTATAAATGGTATATCCATGAGGAAAAATGYAGGAAAACAAACATGCAATATTGATCTCTTATACAGGCCTTCACTAAAAAATGTAATTTAGGAACGAGCCCGTCAACACACCTAGTTTAAAAACATGTCTAGAACTGATAGAAGGGTTCTGATATAATTGCTAAATCAAGATGGCTCAAAACTACAATGCAACTGAGAAACTAAAACAACTGATAAAAGTCTGCCTGMAGGTATAAAGGCCAAGATGAAGAAATCAAGTCAAGAAACGCAACAGGCAAAAGACTTATAACAAAGAAGATTCAGTGAACCGTGATGAAAGCCACCAYTAGATAATTTATCCTYGTGAACGAATATAGAGTGGTTCRTTTACCAAAATGAAGATCTGAAATCATATCTTCCAGTGAGTCTTCGGAAYCTTTGATAATATTTTTTACTTATGGAAAGTCATTTCGCAAGGCGTTTGAATAATCTTTGTTGCAATAACTACAATAAACCATTTTTCTAATAGTTTTGCATCTAATCACATTGTTGGTTCCTATAATGCTGATTGCWGTACAGTGCACATGTAACTGGACAGGTTGAGACCATTTCTGTTCAAGGACTACAATATTATCTTACTAAATCCTTACATCGGTCGAATGATTGCTCTGGAGCTTGGTCATTTCCTGATGACAAGAATCTGGTGAATAATTTACAGCCATCATCTACAGGAACAAACCTAGAAACAAGTGGTACAACATTATCGCTGGGTGGAATTACACCCCCACACAACCCCCAACTAGCACTTCCTTGTCACTTGCRTTCCCATTAGAAACATCCATATGTAAAAATTGGCATAAAGCCATAGCTTTGTTGAGACTAGAAATATATGATGAAACAATTRTATGTCTTTCCAAATCGATTCTTATCAATCCATTAGAGTGCAGAATTGTTCGACTGAAATTTCATTACGCACGAAAGGTATAAACACAACCTACCCAAAATTGTATTAATTTTTTTTTTTTTACATTTTAGCACTGTAGAAGCTGTTTTTGTTTAACACCTTTCATTATTCTCTGGTTGATRACAAAATCTTATGGAACACATAAATGTAGTATCACATTGATGAAAATTATGATGCAGTTTAGAATATAAAAGGTGCACGAAAAAAAAACACTTAAAGTTGAAAGTATCTTTTTATAAGTAATTTGTCAATAAAAATTTGAAGCTAATCCTAATCTTGACACAGACAGCAAACAATGGCTTTAAGACTAGATTTCAGTCATTATATTGTGAATTATATATAACAAAAATATTATAAAAATGGGAARAAATGGAATGAAAGCAAAAACAAAAGTATTTGTGTTCGTCAGTTTTCACCATAAAATTTGAATAATCAATCTCCCCCCCAAAAAAATGACAATTTATAGAAGCTGTGAAAAACAAAGCAATTCAGGTGCCCTGGTGCTAATTTAGAAAAAAGACTAATTTACTTCACATACTAATGGACAATATGACAGAAAAAAATTGATATAAAAAAACATTTTTCAAGCCAATGAGAGAGGCACTTCCGACACAACTTTCTGTAGGTATCATACGATCAAAATAAAYATTTTGATGTGAAAATATTCTTAATTGCCCATGTAAAATACAATAAGTGTAATCATCACAATACTGMAATGTTAATCGATAAACTCGTCAATTATGAAATCAGACCTGCTAAAAAAGTTGCAAAGGGCCTCTGTCAACAGAATAATAGCCATGCCTGCAAAGTTTGTACAGTACACAGTATCACTCATGCATAATTTTGCGCTGAAAATAAGATTCTTTGCGAGAAAAATAATCTGTTTAAGATAGCTCAAATAATTCAAGAAATGCCAATTGAATTAAATTCTTGCTATTTGGCTAGGTGGGCTTTGCAGCTTAATGACAAAACCAGATTTGAAAACGGCCAGACAAAGGCAAACGACGAATTTCTGTGCACCCATAAGTAATTTGTACAACGACCAGCGAAGCTGAAATCTGTGCATGAGATAGAAATTTTAGATTTTMTTTCAACAATAAAAATTACTGAAGCTTACTTTGAGGTTCATCAGCACTGAAGACATGATTCTCAGTTGTAGAAAGGGCAGTTGTCTCTAAAGAAGGTTTGCCATAATGCTGAACGGAGCTTGGAATAATATCACAGTTTTGGGATAGCAAAAGCTCTTGAATTATCTTTCAATCAAACGACTTTCCCATTATAGAAAACCTGAAAGAAATACATTGTTATTTATATCAAGTTATTTATCCATGAATATTACGTGTATTTAAAGCAAAACTCCAGAAAATATAAACAAGCGGTTGTACAAAAAAGCTTTACGGATGTCAAGAGAAAGACGATAGCTCCAGGAATGAATAGCGAGTGGCTGTACAGCCTGAAGTCCTAAGCATGAATCTCGTTACAAAATAGAGGAAACTACAATTAAATTGCAAAATAAAACGTAAGTAATTTTAAACTACTTTAGCCAAAAATGACCGGTCAAAATCGACATGATATGTAACACTACAACTGCAAGTTGATTAATTATTGAACCAATGGAACTCTCTGGCAGTAAGCTGTAGTTCAAAGCACAGTATAATCACTACTTTTCAAAATAACTGGACAAAACAACGCCCAGGGAAAAGTGTCTTAATGTGAAGAGATAAAGTGCTTACATAAATAAGCTACAATCAAAAAAGCCAAAGTTTAGAAGCCGTTCTTTAGTCATGAAATAAGCAAGATGTCAGCTAAAGATGCACCCACGACCACCAGATTTCACTGACATATTTTCAAACTCATAGCGTGGGCGAAAGTTAATTTAAATCAGTATAACGAAACCCGGGAATTCTTTTATGGACATGTTATCTTACCTCAATCTCAACAGTACATAGCGTACGTGAAGTTACTCAACAGAAAGACTGTTTTCGCGGGGAGAAAACCCCACTGATGAAATGCAATCTACTGTTTTGGAGTGACTTAAAAACACAACGAGGAACGGACAATTGCCAAGGATGTGATAATTCATACGAAGACTACGGCATCTATCGTGTACTGTCTTTCAGCACAGCAACTTTTAGGAGCACAGTTTAGAAGGAAAACAAAAAAAGAAAACCCTGAGAAGAGGGACAAAACTATGTCATAAACCAAGCATGGACCTTTATAAAACAACCGGCTCAGCCACACACTTCTCGCTAAGACTCTTGGGATAATGACGTCATAGTATATTTGTCCTTCTTCGGCAATTTGTCGAACGAACGAAAATTAAACGAAGTAGTTACGAGTGCGAGTCGAAGAGCCGACAGTCTGACGACCCGTCTGAACAATCCAAAACCACTACAGGTTATTTACACAATCGATTGAACGYCAATAATTTTAGATAATTCAATCTGATGTTTATTAAGAATGAGTTACGGTGGAAGCTGCAAAGACTGATTACGTATGCAAATTAAACAGCAACTGGGGAAATGTGAACCGAAAGAAAATAATTCCGATTTGTTACGGCTTTTTTTCAATCAATGTTTACATTTGGTTGATATATTAGGTGATTTTTTGGTGATGCCAGTTCACAGAACACCCGGTACCAACACCGGAACCTCGTCGCTTCAAATAAACCCTCAAAGTTCCCTACCAAATCGCATTCATTAGCTATATAATTCCAAACAACTCTAAATTTATATTTCTAGTTATGAAGTCTACTAAAAACTGTAATGACATATCAATAAATTGATTGGCGCGCAGACTGAAAGGCGTAACCGGCGCGTAAAAACCTGATGAAAACTACTCAACAAAATATACAATGATCAATTTGCTTATAGGTAAGATATACGGCGTAGAAACGCACTATAATCCGTGTGAAAAAATAAATTGACAACGAACAAAAAAACATGAAAATAAAAACAACAGTTGATGCCCAAATTTAGACCTGCAATGGTTCATCTCCGTTTAACTGAACGCGGGTGGCGTGCAATACTTACCAGCAATAACAACAAAACGAAGACGATTCTTTTTTTGACGAGACAAAAATAGAACAGACTATACAGTGGTTTCAATTTCTCATCTTAAAACAGGAAAGGTTGTACAGATTAATGGATTTTATTGCGACCCTTAACGTCCTGAAACCTTTAAAATCAAATCCAACTATAAAATCAACAACATTGTGGATAGCAAAAACGCGGTTGAAAAACAGGGAAAACATCTAGTCTTTAGCTAATAAAAAATCAGGAAAATTCACATAAGAATACATTCCAACAGCGGAATATTAATGTGGCTGAATCGATTCAAGCCGAGATTGAATAACTTGACCGCGGTTAAAAATTGGTAATCAAAAACATTACATGACACTGGCAAAGGTGAAAAAACAGACGATACACAGCTTAATTTGACACTATACTTTTAGCCGTTTATAAACTAAATAACTACAAAATGCTGAAAAATGTGTTTGTGTGATAATATGTTATTATTAAAAAAAATGATCTAACCGATCACTCTTGAGATCAGAACTCGATCATGACTAGAAATGGGAAATCCTCACCGAGCTGACGACCATACCTTAAATGTCAGATTATTCAGACGACGATAAAGCCAAAAAGCGCACACGAACGTCTGCGATACACAAGCTCAAAACGTTTGTATTGGATGCACTTTTTCATTTTGGGGATCAACGAGATTACGTCACCAGAAATAGAAATCCACTTTTAGAAACACCGGCCCACGCTTATATCCGCCTACACGATGGAACTACACACATTCTCAAAGAAAACTCCTGAATATTGCAGGTGAAACACAGGCATGTTTCTATAAACGACCTCAACCTGCATTAATATTCAGCCCTCAGAAATAAGATAAGTTAGGGGATGACGTCATTATGACGTCAACACGTCACATTTATGTACTCAAGACAAAGGCACTACGGGCCGAAATGTATGGAAATCATGGATCTGTTGTGAAAAAATTCTAGGATCTTCCTTGAATCTCTAATGCCAGTAAAACAGTGATTATTTTTTGTCATGGAAGGGTTTGAAACCACTAGTCACCATAAACCGCCCAGATTTTTTTTTAACATTAAAATTCAGTGAATATATATATTCTGAGAGTTCAATAATACCAGGAATTTTGTTGTGATTTAGGTCTATTTAAGGTCGATTCAATGTTCATTAATTTAGGTATATGATGATTTGATTTAAGCGAAATAATCAAATGATGGAAACCTGAAATATTTTGGAATTATTTGGGTTATTTTTATCTAGTTAGATAGTGAAAACAACGTGTAAACATTAAATAGATTTATTTAATTTTATTATCAAAAATTCTTGATTCTATTCAACATCAATTGAATCAGTTCACAGCTGACCTGATGAGTTATTCCCAGATATGAATATCGAGGTTTGTGGCAGTACGGTGACAACTGTAGCGAATACAAACCTAGTTATAGTAATCCATAATCCAAGAATTACTAAATATCTTTTTCCTTGATGTACAAATATCTCATGTAGGCCACTATATTATGATATATTCAAGTGTAAATGCGAGGTATACAGCAAAATAAAACACAATGAATTTTGTTATCAATTCAAAAACACCGGTCAGTTTCAAAAACTGGTACAGAAAAAAAAAATCCGTCTTATTCGTTTACAGTTTCATAGATTGTTATTCTATTTTTTTTTCTTCTGTGATTTAAACTAGATGAATGGCAATTTGAAATACAGAGAAGAAGCGTAAATGCTTTTTATGATCGTCATGTAAAATGAAGATAGGGTTTTTTTGGTCAGAAAGAAAGACGTACGAATATATCCCACAATGAACCCACGTATAGTTCGACTCATTATCGGTCAGATCCACCAGACATTTTTTTTGCTCCCACAACAAGATTTAATAAGTTTTGTAATATAATTCCTAAAATAACCAGTCATGATTCTCTAACACTAATTGCAACATGATTCAAAAATTAGAGTGGCAAAAACGAAAATAGCTCATGTTTTTAAAGTAGTTGACATTGTTGTGTTTACTACAAGGTATTATGGTATCGAGAATGATACTCTTAATTTTCTATTTATAGACTTCTTGGGCTTCTAAATATCCTGTGGTCTTTTTACAAAGTTTTCCCTCTTTTTCCCCATCTTTTTTCCCTCTTTTTTCTCCTCTTTTTTCTTTCTTTTTCCACTTTTCCCTCTCTTTTTATGCTTGTTTGTTTSTTTCTCACTTTCTTTTCGTTTTCCCCCATTTCTTCTTCGTTACAAGAGTGATGTAAATTTATTTCTTCACTTCAAAATATACTGCTGACTACATCTTAAACATATATGTCTAGCTAGTACTTTTATAAAAGGTCAGTTCAGGGGATAGTCATTATCAAAGACATATCACTTTGGTTGATGTGGTTATGCTCGCATGTTTTCAGCATTTAGTAATTATTACACAGTTATAACATTAATGTTAAAAAAAGCTTAGGAACTTACCAATGTCTTTTGTTTTAAAGTTAACTTTTGAGATTGAAACACTTTGAACTTAGAGTATGTGAACCGGTAAACTGAAGATTTYCGCAAGCATGTTTGATCAGTCTARCTTGAAGCTTAATTTCRGTTTTAAGAACTGTGTTTAGAACTGCAGTGAACTAGATACAAATCATGACTCGTTTCAGTAGTTTGTTCAATCAACTTTTCTCTTTAAGTCAATGATAACTTTCTTTAACAAGCAAGTGGCATCGTGGGCTTTTTTGTCAATTTTTATTGGATATCTCCTATTCTTAGAAAGTTATATGAGGTCAATCATGAACCCACACAAGCCGGAATTCCACTCTGAATGGGCAGGCTCTTAACTGACTGACTGAGCTTAAACGTGATGTAACAACTGTCAGAGGGTTCAGCATATCTCGATTAGCTTTACTCCCATGAAATCATGAAGTTCATGCCGTGAAATGACTTCTACTTAAATGTCTTTAAGACTAGAATTAATGTAAATGCATAAAACGAAAGTTTATATATATATATATTTAAGTAAGTTACATTGCTCATTCGCTAATGTCTCAAATCGTCGTAGATTTACAAAGATTGGCTTATTGAAAAATCGAACAAAATTGGGTTCGATTCGTTGAAAACTACCCCAATGAAAAGATGATGATTTTTATTTATAGAATAACAATTGGAGAATTTAGTTAGATGCTTGAATATGACTAAAGCTAGTGATTGTGGTCTGATCCCACTCGCTCGCCCTAAGGTGCATGCACGCTTGCAACACTATTCGATCAAGCTGTAGGTATGACTTTAACTATAGAAGCCACTATATCACAATACAAAAACACAAATAGAGGAAACTTATAAATATAAAATCAGTGATTTTCCATGAACGGAATCTTCAGCAAGATTAAAAARAATACACGAGCCAATAACGGAAGATCTATCTGATTTATTCTGGTCGAATAAAATGCTTTGTGATGAGCTTTATAAGTAAGCACCAATTGCCAACAAACACATAAAAGGATAAATTTTCTCAAAGAAAAGTCCTAGTCACATCAAACAGTTCATTTGTATCGAATGCAAACTGGAATGAGAATTCCTCTTCACTAACTAGGTCAGCAATCAAACGAARCGGAATACAGTCTGTTCCTAACGAATGCCAAAGCATTTTGGTCTCAATCGTGTACCAAAAGTATTCTATTGCTAGTTTATCGGTTGAGAGCATCGGTTAGACCTATGTGATCTCTTCGTGACCGGTTAACTCGGCCATATTTAAATGATACAGAAGATTTAAATCTGTACATATTTACACACAAGTTAGATTCCTATAAACGAAACCCTACATGAGATAAGTCTATTTTCACCCSAAGAAAAAAGGAAGATCATTGTCTTTTCTTACCTAGAAGTTTCATGGCGACTKCGAGGACTGTGCTCTGTCAGTGTGCGAGCACAAAGTGAGAGGCGGAATGGCACAYATTCAGGTGGGGTACGGCAAAACCAACAGATGTTCAACACCAAATACGGTGAAGGAAAACTGTGGAAAACAAAAATATAATGTAAAATGTTTGGCTGGAGTCTTTTCTGATGCTATATTGGTCTAATAATCGGGTATATATGAATCAAAATCATGGTTCTCCGTCGGTGAAGTGCACGGGGAATTTCCTATTCTAAACTTCGAGACAAGTATCAAAGAGCGCTTTTAAAAACGTATAGCGGCTTA